CAACAATACCAGTTCTATAACCTAAAACTATTGAAATAATTTGTAAATTATATAAAACATATTCAAATAAAAAAAAAAGACGTCATTTCTAACAAGAGTCCTTGTGATGTGATATTTTTTCTCTCTCGAATTGATTTAATTAATATAATCATTTTCAGAAAAAATTGAATTGTATCAATACCCTTCTTTCTAGGCTTCGTCTCACCAGTTAGATTAGATTCGTCAATTTCTAGATTTACTGCCTACGTAGCTTAAAAGATTCAATTTAACCAGAATTTAATAATTTCAATAAATTCCTTATTTTTTTTATTTTAAAAAAGATAAAATACCAATCATTACAAATCTTATATCAGCAGGAATTCTATCACCAACACCAAAATGGACCTGGTAAGATTTCTCACTTAACTGAGGTTTTGACAAGTATCTTACATTCGTTTTTATCAACTCCAGTTTCACAGCAGTAATAGCATCTAATATTAAGTGTTCTTTTAGCAAGTTTGATTTCAGCTTCAATTCCATTCCCGTAACAATGTCCTAGATAATATGTTTCAGTCTCATGGTTCATTTTAATAATTAATGAACATTTTATATTCATTCGTTTTACCCTCAACTATGCATTGACTATAATTGCTGGCAAAGCCTAGACAAATTCCAAACCTTAAAAAAATATTTACTATTGTTCTATATAAAAAAAATTTTTTTTATCAATTGGCTTAGCGTTAGTACTGTAGTACACTAAACCTGGTAGATGAGATAATCTACTCGGGCTTCCAAAAAAAGTATTGTAATACATATTGATATTGGAAAGTAGACAACGTTGCACAGTTTAGCTCCAATAGTTAACGTGGTTTGGACGTGATGATATCTCACTTAACCAAGTAGAATTCAAGCATTAATGATAGTTGGGAATAAAGGAAAAGCAAATCATTGTTTTATGTTACTTTATCAAGAAGGACGTGAGCTTCTTTTTTATTAAAAATGAAATATAATTCCGGAAATCTATGATCGCCAATCACATGATTAAAAAATTGGACATTTTCAAATCGCTAAAACTTTTTACACTAGCAATATTTCAAAAAACTGACCGGTACCTTCGTAGAACTGATTATAAAGAACAAAGTTACTGGTCAATTTTTTGAAATTCTGCTAATATAAAAATTTTTAGTTATTTGAAGTTTCTAAGTTTTATGATATAGAAACAAATCCTTTCAGCTTGTTGCAGTCTTATCTTTGATTCTACAACAGATAATTTTTTAAGAGCTTGAGTTTCAGTAGAATGAATTAATGCGTTATATATGTACTTTATGGTTTTTTTGTCGCAGCCAATTTCTTCAATTCTTATTAAACATGGTTATAAAATGTGCTAAAAATTAATTATATTATTTATAAAATTCAATTTGTCCATTTTGTGAATAAATTATTTCAATATGCGTTTAATAAACTGTATAATAAATAACGTCTAATCTTACCGTACTTCATTCAAAAAATCATGTGAATTTTCCTTAAGAACTAGGTAAGATCTTAAGTGCAACGATGCTATATAGATGGTTCGCATGCTCTCACATAGAAGTAGTTATTATACAATCATCATCAGTTTTCTTAATTTTTTTTTCAATCCTTCATACACTATCCCAACCAATTGCAAAAAAAAATACTAGTAAAATCCTCCTTTGTTAGATATCCCACTATATCATATATTTATGTGAATTATTTCTAAGTTGAAACCCTTTCATGCAATCGTCAATTTTTTTTATTTCAGAATCAATAGATTTGTGATCAATTTTAAATAAATTAAATTTTATTTAAATATCTTTGATTAAAAATATTGTATTTAAATTTTTTTTTTTTTTTTTTTTTTGTATAATCTAAAAGACTCACTACCCAACAAACC